GTTTGAGAAAAAACAAATCACGGACTAAACAAACATGGAAAACAAAATATATACATTTTACACCAACTGTTCTCAACGTATGGCCCATGTTGGTAGAGTAACGTGTCCGTACGTGAGAACTCGGCGTACTTAGGCATGGAATTCAAGTTCGTGAAGCCCCTGCTTAGGCAGGAAACATTCTCCAGAAATTGTCAGCCTTGTGACCGAGATAATGAATTTTCTCGCCAAAACTTTTACAGAGGCCACATTAAAATTTCAGCTTTCTAGCTTTTGCAGTTCATGAGACAATAATTTCCTTGCCATTAATTTCGCAGGGCCATACGTGATACCCAGAGGTGCCTGAAGGGTGAATCCAAATTTGTGGGGTTGTAAGTTGATGGGGAACATAGCCCTAAAATTTAAGGTTCCCAACTTTCGTGGTTCCCGGAATAATAATTTACCCGCCTAAGTTTTCACGGGGCAATAGGTGATACCCGAGTGTGCTGGAACGCTGAATTTGGATCTGCAAGGTCGTACGTGGGCAAGGGGTCATGTCCAAAAACTTCAATTTCCTACGTTCCGTGTTTCCTGTGATAATAATTTTACCCACCAAAATGGGGCCGTGCTTGCTACCGTTACCCGATGGCGAGAGAAGGCAAAATTTAAATCTTTCGCTTCACACTTCGGTGGGGACATTTGCCTAAATTTCCAGCTTTCTAGTTTTTACCGTTCGCGATTGAATGATGCGACAATTTGCGGCGGACACAGACACGTGCACACACAGAGACACACAGATACCCTCCGTAACAATATGCTTTTTGTGCAGCCATTGCATTAGCACAAAACGCATAATAATATTAAGTACACTTATGATGAGTTAAAAAATAGAAAATGATAGAAAAAAACAAGTGAACAAAACATTCCCAGAGATCCGTTTTCAAACCCAGAGTTTTGATATTTCGTCTAAAATATTTTTTCTCAAAAATAAAAATTCCAGATGGACATTACTGCATAATAAAGAGATGTTGGGAGCTCCATATCCTCTCAAGAGCAACTCAGTTGGAGACTCGTTGTGATGACTCGCCCCATTCTAACGCTGGAACCAACAGTCCATAAAAGCAACGCCGCCATATGCTCGTTTTCACCTTTCGCACAGCCTCAGGCCTCTGCCATTCCAGCCCTCTTGACTTCGTTTTGTTTTTGATTAGTTCAACAGAACTTATTGGTACTGGCCTCCATGTCTGAGTTTTTTTGTCTCGCATGCTTGTATTTTCTTCCATTTTTGTGCATGTTTTTCCAGTCTCTCTCAGAATCAGTTAGTCTTTCTTATACTGTAATATTTTTTTCCCACTAAAGAAATTTTCGTTTTTCTTTCATTTTTCATTGCATATTTACTCTGATCAAAAACCTTCCATGCTGGTAGAGTGATCTGTTAAAATGGCATCATCAAGCTGTAATTGGCATCATCAAGCAGCAAGCGCCTTGTCATCGAAGGCCCACAGCTTCCCAAATGATAGCCGGTTAGCCAGTCCTTCTGCAGTTCGTCCACCCTTTTTAATAGTAAACTGGTAATGATATATGATGGGGAGTCAAACCATGATTAGCTTGCTTTATAAGTAGCCCTCCAGACCGAAATCATCGACAGCCTTGTTGGAGGGTGTTGCTGTTGGTTTACTACTTCTGAATGCCTTCGCCTCTCAGAGAGAGCAAACTATGGATGGAAGTTTTAACTTAATTCAGCCCACACTGAAGTCCGCTAAAAGCGTCTCTTCACCGACCTGACTTAGTTACGACTTTTGCTGAAACTCTGACACTTGTATTTGATTATAATTCAACATCACACCTGGAACTATCCTAACCGCCTTCAGCCAGGCCTTTTAATTGCGCTCGAAAGAGGAAGCTGTCGCCTGGCTAGTGCTATTGCTATTGTGTGAGTAAATTCCGCATAGTAGGAACTCAGAATCAGTCCCACACTACAGTTGTAATCTAACGTTGGAGGGGAAAACTGTGAATGAGTTCACCGCAAAACTGCATGCACTCAGCATCAGTCACTGTTCATTAACTACGCCGAACGGGCTAAAACGGATAAAAAGCACGGCTGGCAACTGTAATATCGCACAGTAAGGCTCTCGGCATAGCCCGACACGGTGCGCAGTTATGTCAAGCCCACCGGCTTGGGTTGCCTTGCTTCCAGCTGCTAATTATTGCATCCACGTACCTTCAAAATTTGTCCTCACTGCTGGCCTCCTATTCCAAACGTTGACCGTGGCATACATGAACTGGCGGCAAAATGAACAATGTACTTTCTCAAGCTAATTTTTTTGAGTACTCACGAAAAGCGCCCTAATAATATCGGAGACACATTGCCTGATATGACCGGATAATTCAGTGCAAATGGGAAGAGCTCTAAGTAGGCCCCTTGGAAGAAGAGCTACGGCAAAAACCAGGCACTCAAGTAAGTGTGCTGGATTCTTTTCATGCGGTTCCATGCGATTCCTGTTCCTGTCCCAAACAAAAACTTGATGCACTTGCATTCTACAAGCAAAAATAAATGGCAACGCGCACCAGGTGGATGATGCGATCATGCATTTTGTACAATTTCGTCCAACGGACGCTTGTGCGAACTTGTCCAGCTGACGCTTGCGCAACTCTAAGGGAATCTAGCTTTCAAAAATATCTACTGCATTACTGTTTCATACGTACAGAAATTTTTGCGGCTTCGGTGTTATTATTTTGCCGCCAAAATTTTCACTTTTATGTATTTGAGACCTAGAAGCGCACGAAGATTAATTCATACGCATGCATGGAGCCGGATTCTGAAATTTCAACTTCCTAGTTTTTCTTATTTCCGAGTAATTCCTGCCCCAAAACTTCCTCATGTGTCTGCATGTGAGACCGAGGAGAGTATGGAAGCTGATTTTGAAGCTACGGAGTCGTACGCGAGCAGAGAACATCCTCGTAAAATTTCAGTCTCTTAGCTTTTGCGACTCACAAGTTTTATTAATTTTGGCGCCAAAATTTTCACTTATCCGTACGGGAGACCTAGGCAACGCAAGCAATGAATTTATACGTAGGCTGGAGCACTACTGTGAAATTTCAGCTTCCTAGCTTCCCTGATTCCTGAATTCTTAATTCTGGCACCAAAAAATTTACACGTCCCTACGTGAAATCCAGGCATGCAGCGGCTGAATCTGAGTTTGCGGGGTCAAACGCGGGCGGGGAACATTGTCCTAAAATCTCGGCTTCTTAACTTTCCTGGTTTCCGAATTAACGGTTTTCGCGTCAAAACTTTCATGTACATGAAGCTTAGACGTGCGGACGCTGAATTTGAGTTTACGAGATCACACGCGGAGAGGGTGCCCCTCCTTAAAATCTCAGGTCTTTAGCTTCTCTACCTCCTGAGTTGAAATTCCCGGAACAAGCATGCAAACATACACACACACACGCATACACACACACACACATAAACACACACATGGTCTCAACAGTATGCGTTTTGTACAGCTGTTGCAGCACA